TGTCTCTGCATGTCGAGATGAGGTCGATGATATCCCTTCCAGCTTTGAAAACCTGCTCTGCGCTTCGTTCCCAAAAGTGGTCGGGAACAGTTTCGCGGTCGAATACAGGCTCATCCAGAGGGCCGACTGGCTCAGAACATTTGATGGCGATGAACGGGAGGTATTCGCGATGCAGCATGATTTTGCATAGGGCACCCAGCATGTGGAGCGATATATACATGCTACTGTCGTGTTTCCAAAAGTTCGAGCTGGACCAGGTGAACTCTTCCGGAAGGTGTGCGTAAAAGGCGTCTACCTTTTTATTCAGTTGATAGAAAGTCGACTCTTGGTCCCACGGCGGAAGGGATTCCGTATGGCGGCCGCCCGCGAAACTGTACTTGGTAATATCGCCCCAGAAATCTGCTAGTCGCACGAATCGACTCAACACGCTGTCATCGATTGGTGGCTCCATGCCATGTCCCACCTGCCGCAGAAGTCCGGTGTAGACGACGCGGCCAAGGTCGAAGGCGTCTTCAGTGCATGGTAGCTGGATTTGAAGATCGTCGGGCCATAGAAACCCGATCTGATCCGCAGGATAGGAGACGATCCAGTATCAAGCAACTGAACATGGTACGACGCCTGACCTCCTGATCTTTCCAAAGGTCGGAGGGTGGTTGGGCAGATTTACTTGACCGAGGAGACAAGGCCGGAGTTCTCTTGCCGCCCAAAGGCTTGTCTCCAAACCCCAATTTCAAGCCTTGAGCCATCTGTACGGCAACGCCAATATACATCCATGCAGCCAAGCCGCCATTCGGCTGACTCCATTTGTACAAGCCGAGCATGAGGAAAGCTTGAACGCGGACGACAGTAGCTGATGTCAGAGCTGATTCTAGTTCTCCCAGTGCCTTTGTCAGAGCGTTTGAGAAGTACTCTGAGGCCATTGGCGGCTCCGACTTGGATAGAGCACTGCGAGATTTGGGGTCCGGGATCTTGTCATGAGTGAGATGTGCCGCATATTTGATCAAGTCGGGATGAAATCTTGCAGTGAGAGTCAAAATGCCCAGCAGGATAAGATTCGATTCGGTCGACGGCTTCTTGCTCTCCTTGTTGTGAATGACGCTCTTGAGAGTTGGGAGATGCAAAAACGGGAGTTCGGTAGCGAAGTGCAGCTTAAAAATGTCGAAGAGTTGATGCCATAAATCGACGGTAAGATAGGTTGCCGAAAGGACTTCCTGAGCAAGTGCAGCAGCAGTACGTCCATCAGAGGACGTTGCATCTTCGAGCTTCGTCACTCGCTTCCGGACATGCCCGACTTCCACTACCTGCCTCGGCACAGTCGGCGGCTTTGATCGTTTCGCCGGAAGAGGCTTTGGATCAGGAAACTCGCAATTATGTCCTGCCTTGATGCATGTGTCGCAAGGTGATCCGGTGTTGTCGTTGTCGCATTTGGTTTTGGATTTCCTGCATCTCAAACAAGCTATGCTAGATCTCATCGGCGGCTGCATAGCTCTAGAGGGTCTTTTAGCACTTGAGCCTCTCGCCGAGGTCGCCTTCGAGTCATCGCCGTCGGGCACGATGGAACCCTGAGGTATGGCTATTTCCGGAGCTTGCTTGCCTGCCGGCTTTGCTACGGCGAGAGTTGTAGAGGTATTCTCCTGTCGGGTTAAGGGTTTGTAACATCTTCCCTTTGGCGTGGCCTGAGTAGGGAGCGCTGTGAGTGCGTCATCGGAGTCCGAGGCAGGAGACAGCAAAGACTTGATGCATAGTTGAGAAGAAATTGTGACGGTTGGGTCTGCTATGGACCCGTGGAGCCAGCAAGGGGAGCAAGCGACGGGGCGCATGAATGATAGAGAGGGTAAGATGCGCAGAGCTGGAGGGTGATGGCCACTATCTGTCGAGGTAAAGCTCGAAGTACTTCAGATAGCACAGTCGAGTGGACACTGGCTGTTGACAGGTCGCAACCGACAGGTGTCTGCTTCGAGTAATACACGTTAAGTTTCTAAGCGTGACTAATATTGCCAGATAGCCAAAGGGCTCATAGTTGAACAAACGACTTCTTTTTACTTTCTGGAGATGAAGAGCACAAGCTCTAGCGGTAGTCGTTGGCGCCGAGAAGTCGAGGTCGATCATTTATGTGGGGATGAAGAGAGTTGACCTGCTGGAAATTTCTAAGGGCAAAACGAGAAAACCAAGGATGTGGGATCGAAAAGTCAAACGAGGTGGAGTGTGGCTATCTTAAACAATAGCAATTATTCTAACGCGCACGTGCCCGCGACACAGGCTGGGGAGGGTGGGAACATGGTTTGTTATTAACCACTGTGCCGTCGGCCTCCGGATTGAGTGTATGCCCATCTTTAATGGCTATCGCTGCTTGCTCACCCTTCTTTGCCTGTTCTCCCTCGTTTTTAGCCAGGGGTCCTGTGGAATGCTCTGGCTCTCAGTGGACATGATTGATGATGTGGTTTCAGGAAGGTAAAGCTGTTGTGAGCGAGGATGTCTCCACGGCCCAACACACATCTAGCCGGCCTCTTCCGCTTCTCAGCTACTGATACCCCCTG